ATATTTAATAATTTTTTCATAAAATAGTCCGCAGCACGACTTGGACCTAATAATTTTCCTGGACCATGTTAAAAGCATATTTTTTTACATCATTTTGATATATTCAGAATTTTATTTAAAGTTGTGTTCAGAATTATCTAATTTTAATTGACAAGGAGGAAGGCGCCTGTTACATCACAAACCCTTCGTGGTTTTGTCCCATTTTACTTAAAAAAAAAAAAATAAAAGGAGAGATTAAAGAAATATTGAACGTGTAATTGAGTCAAATCGAATCGATATAGTGAAAAATTTGAGTTTGAGTTTGATTATCAATTTGTCACTCGATACTTGACTTGAATTCGATCGAGTTTTATTTTTTTAATTAGAGTTCGATTCGTGATCGAAATCGAATTACTCAAATTCATTCGATTAAGTTTAATTAATATGTAAAAATAAGCTCGATTTTTATACTCGATAAAAGTTTAATTATTTGTGCTCAAACTCGAATTTGAAATATTTTATTAATTAAAATAATAAAAAATATTTAAATATAAAAATTCGATTAAACTTATAAACTACTCGAATCGAATATAAAAATACTTAAACTTGATTCGATTAATAAATCAAGTTATTCGAACTCGAACTCGATTCGATAATAATCGAATCGAATTCGAATTTTATTCAAATCAAATTCAAATAACTTACGAATAATAATATATAATTTACACTCTTAAAAAATATTATCAATATATATACACCTACGAAACACTTTCGAGTTTCCATAACCCATTCGTAAATTTCATACAACAAAGGTTAATACTAGCATGGAAATTCTAACCAAGATGTTGGCATAAGATTTCATACTTTTTTTTTTTCTTTTGGGTGCAGAAAAGAAAATGGGAGAGGGAGGCGAAGCAGGGAATAATTGGAGGTACTGTGTTAACTTGCTGGAGTTGTTAAATGAAGAACGAAGGAAGGATTTAAAGGTTGGGAGAGAGATCTTGTGGGACCTTTGCGGCAGATGCTCTACAGACAATGTGCTTTTTCCATGTGACGCAGACAACCATGCAATCTTAAACAATAAAATTTAATAAGAATAATAATATGATGGTTCTAACGGTTTCCACTTTAGTCTTAAATTTTGTACAGAACACAAAATAAATTACGATTTAAAATTTTTTTAAAATTATATATAAATTTAATAAAAATAAAAAATATATTTTAATATAAACTATATTAAAATAATTATTATATTTTATATGTATTTGATAAATCGTAAATATAGGAATTATTAAACTTATAAGTTAAGTTTGATAATCACAGAAATACCTCGTGCATCGCTGTCGTACGTTCATCTTCAAAAAAAAAAAAAAAACCAAACATTTGGTTTTGGCCTTTGTCCCCCAACTAAACATTCTTATAAGATTGTTTCAAAAAGAATAATAATTCAAAACTAGAAAAACCTTAACATATTCTCTTGTGTATTATAAATAAATCCCCAATATTTTTGTATTTCTTATATGTAGTTTAAATTTTTAAAATATTTCCATTCACAAAAATTATAAATATAAACAAAAAAAATGGTTCCACTTGCATTTCATTCAATTCAATCGCTCAAAGTACTTATAATCTGAATTTTAAAGAGTTAAGACATACTTTTCAAATAATTCAATGTGAGATATTGAATCTTTATTCTAAAATTTTATTTTATTCGTACGCATTAATATTTAATTACCATAAAAAAGGTGGGCGATGGATATTTTTAGCAAAGGACCAATCTTAGAGATGAAGATAAGACGTAACATTCCTTTTTTTTTTTTTTGGTCATTATTTTTTATGAATAATTTTTTATATCATAATTGAAAATATGTGGTTAAGGTTAATTTTTTAATGCATCCACGTGTTACAATGACTTTACACCATAAACATTTATAGTGTATGTGTTCGACATCTAAGTATTTAATTAGTTCTTAGATCTGATTAAACACTAATTAAAGATAATTAAAATACTATTTATTTATTTATTTTTACATTTAACGAATTATTTCCATCAATTTTAAAAAGCAATAATATATTAATTACAATTTTTTTCTTAAGTATTATCTTAAGAAAAAATTGTAATTAATTGGAATGAAGATCATTTTTCAAATGTGAATTGTCTATAGTCTAAACTATCGTGTATAGGAACATCGCTTTCAGGTTAGAAAAAAAGAATAACGAAGAAAATTGAAATTTGAGAGTTTTAAAAGCTTGAATAGTTTTTTTTTTTTCCAACAAAAAGCTTGAATAGTTAAAATTTGGTAACAATTAATTTTAAATTTTAATATAAGAACTTGAAATTTTATTTTTTAAAATTAATTAAAAAAGACATAAACTTTGAAATATTAAAAAATAAAAATATTTCCAAAATTAATACTTAAACAAACCTAAACGCATTAAGGGTGTGACTAGATGAGAAAAAAAATGATAAATTTAGATATGAAAATGAACAAAAATATGAATAATATTTAAAATTTTGACAAAGTAAAAAATTGTATTTGATATATGATGTGTTAATATAAATTGTAATAAGATACCTTTTATATCATACAAAGAGGTGAAAAAAATCAAAAATTAATTTAAAATCATAATGTTTGATTTCGATCTCGAATCAATTTTTTTTATTTTGTTCAGTTTAAATTTCTATATTAAATATTTTTATTAAGTTTGAATTAAACTTTTGAGTGAATAGAAAAAATAAAAAATATTCAAATCGAATTGTATATTTTTATTAATTTTTATGTATATTTTAAATTTTTATAAAATAAAAATAATTATTTTATTTATAAATATATTAAAATAATATAAAAATTTAAAAACAGCAAACTTTCAAATAAAATCAATTTAAAAAAATCAATTCAAATTTAAATTTAAATTTAAAAATTTATAATAATAAATATTATTTAAAAAATAACAATAAATTCGATTAGACTCACCGTTACTTCTATCTATATATTTAACATTTAAAGAAAATATAGAACACAAAAATTAAGTGGGATGTTTAAATGATAATGTGCGGAAAGAAACCGCCAATCGCGGCGGTAAAAAAAGGGCAATGGTACAGGGGGCACACAGGCTGACGAATGTCGTCCTTCATAAGCACGTGGTTCCTAAGAGAAGGGGCGGGTACTTTGGGAGCACATAGATCATGGAACCGTAACGGGCCGCTGCCGACAGATGAATTAAGAGAACATCGTATTCGTATTACGTTGACGTGTCAGAGGAAATTTATTTTTTATTTTACTTTTGGTCGGTGGTGGTAGGGCGGACTGGGGGTGAGTATTGGGAACCTGAGCTTAGACCGCAGGTACCCTTCACACGTTGCCACCCATCATTTGTTGCTCTCGTCACCCGTTACGTTATACTCCAACACAAAGGAAAAGAGTTGTGTTGCCTTGCAGCCAATCCTCATTTTGATTCGATAGTATAAGGATTTTTTTTCACCTTTAACTCGATCAATTTCAAATTTTCTCTTTTTGAAAGAATTATTATAATTTTTTATAGTTTTTATTTGAACAAAATTTTAAAAAAAAATTTAATATTTACCTTTCACCATTGATGATTAAATATTCTTGTTTGATTACAATAGTACATAATAATTATTGTTGATCAAATATCATAAAAAAAATGCAATGGGGTGTATCAATGAAAAAATGATATTATATATTTTTTTTAAAATTAAAAGATGATTAGATGAAATTTTTAAATTGAATAAGAAAAAATTATGCATCAACCGTAGATCTAAATACTTAAATGCCATGTTATGTTTCCTTATACAAGAACAGAACATGATTGTAATTTGGAAAATCAATTATGACTTTTCCTATTATAGTTATAGTTATAATTTTTTGGTTCAAAAATTTAGATTGATAGGAAACTAAGATCTTTTACTTGAATATAGAACATAATTCAAATAGTTTAATAAAATTTTTGCTTTTATAAAATATAAATTTTACAAAATTAAAATGCGATCTTTAATATTTATTAATTCTAACTCCTTAATTTCTCTCCAGCTTCTATTTCATAGATAAAAAATATATTTTTTATTTGTAAAGTCAAAAGGTTATCTGTTATTAAGAAATACAGGAATTATTTATAAGTGAAATTGAAACCTTACACTTGTCCCTAGTTTGAAAAGAATAAAAAATAAATTATTTATAAGTGAAATTGAAACGTTATTTCAATTGCAGCCACAGATATTTCTTCGCAAATTTCAAGTTCTTCCTCGGAATTTAACTGTATAAAACTAAAAGAAATGATGTTTTAATTTTAAATTGAATTTTTAATGATAAATTCTTATTATTTTTAATTTATATTTCATGTATAAATTTTATATATTATTAATAAATTAGATAATATTATCATATTAATAAACAAATATTAATATTTAAATAGATATATAAAAATTAATATTTAAAAAACTTATTAAATAATGAGATGATATTATCTAATTTATTTTTTTAATAATATTAATGTATTTGGTACATAAAATTATAATAAGATAAGATAAGATGATATTATAAATAAAATTAAATTAAATTATGTCATACTATCATATATTTGATATATGCAATAATTATGATAAAATAATTTATTTATTGGTTAAAATTATTTTTTTTAAATTTATATAATGTAAATTATTAATGTAATTTTTAAAAATATAATAAAAAATAAAATCAATATTATAGATTAAAAATAATCTTTTATACTTTAGAATGATTTAATCATCTTATATTAAGATAATAATTAATTTTTTTATAATTTTATATTTTATTTTAATACAAATTAAATATAATATAAAATAATTATCATTCTATCATATTTATTATTTTATGTATCAAATATTATCTTAATTTATTAATAATATATAAAATTTATATAATAATAATACATCATATATATATATATATATATATATATATACACACACTTTGTTTGCCTTGGTAAACAAGGAGTAATTGACAGATAATCATGGATATAAGTATATCTGAAAATTCTGAAACCCTAAAATGTAGCACGTGCAGCTTTACATAGACACGTGCCAGCACCATCAGAAATTCCACCATTTCACTTCCTTTTTAGCCGCTCTGTCCCTCTCTGCCTCTTTTTCCTCTCTCCAACTCACTGTTTAATTTATCTCTCCAACGCCGGCGTGTCCAAACCCAAAAATTTCCCCAATCCCTCTTCCGCAGACTCTCTCTTTTTCGATTAAATTCAATCCAATTTCAAGGTTATTTTTTTAATTTCATTGTTCCAATCAGCAATTCTTCTTCTTCTTTTTTTTTTTTTTTTTCCATTTTGAATGCTTAATCTTCTCTAAAATCCCGTCCAGGTTCAGAGTAGCTGAGTTTTTTTTTTTTTTTTAACTGTCTTATGAATCTGTTAATATCTGGCTCTGTTTGGCTGCCGAGCAACTCTAAATCTTAGTGAAATTTACTTAAAAAAAGTTCGTTTATTTTCGTCTCTTTTCTGTTTTGAACTATGAGGGGTGGATTTTTATAAAACCTCAATTGAGCTGAATCCAATACGTTTCTCTTTCTTGAACTGAAAGTGAAAATTTTAGTATTTTTTGGAATCATGAAGGAAGAAATCGATATTATCTTTCCTTTTCGTTCATTGTTTTTAATTTTTTTTTCTCAGCAACCAAACAGGTTTCTATACGGTATCTGTCTTTATCAGGATTTGTTGTTGCTATTATTTTAGCTAATCAATTAACAAATGCAAATCCTATAAACTCTGCATCTATTTCTTAGAGAAGTCCGTTTAGTTTTAAATTATTAACTTAACAAATATTGATGTATTTTTTTTTTCAATTTTCGTTTAAGTTGAAATATGCTTTTTGTAATTCATATTATTATTCGGAATCCAGCCTCAACCGTTTCATAGATCTTGACTCAAATTGTTCTTAATTTAATTTAATTTTATGTGTTTAGTAATTGCTTCAATTATAATGTGTTAATGATATCTGCTTTTTGTAGGAATTCTGGATTGGAGCTCTCCACAGTATATCTCTACATAATTTAAGTAAGTTTCTTTCTTCCATTGATTTTTTTTTTTTTGTGAAATTAAATTTTTTTTATTGAGTTAGTATTGCAAAATCACATCTTTGCTGGATGAAAGTTTAAGTAGATTAAATATGCTTTTAGAGGCCAACAGCCACGTGTTCTGCTGGACTCTTACTTCCAGTGGTCAGGATTCAAATCCTGGCAGCCTAAGTGTTAGGAAAAAAAAAAGCTATTAGAGCTAGAGGCCATCTTTTTTTAGACTAGGGTTTTGTTACTTTCTCAATTATGAAATAGTAGCATACATTTACTGCTGATATATTTTGTGTTTTAAATGTTATGTTTGATTCATCACCTTGTCTTCAACCCCATTTCTAATGATTTATTTGGCTGCTTATGAGGTAGAGGAAAAGAACGGAGAGCTAATTGATTTTCGTTCTTTGCATTACTCAAAATGTCCTAAAAAGCTGGATAATAAAATGAATTTATTCCTGTCTATATGAGATCAAATTTAGTTATCTATTTTAGGTGCATAGCTCACTTTAATTTTCTTCTTTAGTTTTCCTGCATTTAAATATGTAATTTTATTGAAGTTTTCATTTATTTGTGCTGAGCTCTCTACATCTTGCATAAACTAACTTGTGTTTTAGAAAATAATAAAAATTTTCCCTTTTCTCTTTCTCTTTTTTTGGCATTTTCCACCAAATCTCAAGCTATGTTATGCCCAGCTGTTTTTATTTATACTGGTGTATTCATTTTCCATCCTGATAGTTCAAATTGTTCCTTATTCAACAGGAGTGCTGTCTGCTTTGGCTGCCTGATGACTTATGTTCTCACTTTGTGTCTGGAATTATAAGGTTCTATTTCCATCCTGGTTAGCATATATGTGCACGTTACTGACAATATGTTTTAGACTTTAGAGCTGTAACCTTTGTAAAAAAAAATGGGCGCAATTTAGCTTGATAAGAAGCTAATATTGTTTTTCCAATGTTGTAGTTTTTGCTCATCTCAAATCTATTTGCTGTCTGTTTATTAAGCTTTAACTTTCTTATTTTATTTTGGAACAGGATGGTGGAGCACCATGCTGCTGTTCTAAACTTGTCCAGTCTGCACAGATTTATTTTCTTTTGCCTCAACTGATTGGCTGAATTTTGGGTTAAATTGCTTTAAGCAAATGGATCGTTGTGACACTTCAGGATTTGTTAGTGGGGGTGGGATTTACTCTCTCAGCAACATCTAACCCTAGTTTCGTGGCTAATTGTCTTCACCTTGAAGTCAGGTTAACTGCCTATTGCTATTAAGATTTGGTCTGCATATCCTTATTTGATTTCTGCTGTTGCTAGATGGACACCAGGTTCTCACACTTGGATTTTGCTGCCAATTATTCTTTGAATGCCTTCAAGATTTTGGGTAGTTCAATGCAAGTTGGGGGAAATGGGAGTGCATATAGTGCGGATACCGTTCTACGTCTTGATTCCCCTGGCTCTTCAATCCCTTACATGTCCACATCAAAAGGAATCAAGCGGAAGTGGAGTTTGATGGATGGATCCATCAGTGAGCAAGTTGGTTCATCATTGTCTCTTGGGCTAGGCCTCTCCTCAAGTTCCTCAGACAGCAAGGGGAGTTCGACAACTGCTTGTACTACCACATCGTCAGCCAAAGAAGCTGATGAGGAGTCCTCAATGGATATTGAATTGGACTTTACTCTCCATCTTGGGAATGAAAAGGTAATTAACCCAAAGAAATCGCCTAGTCCAAATCTGAATGGACTGGAATTGCAACCAAAAGTCAACCTGGAGTTAGGTCTTTCCACTGGGCCTTCTGAATCTGATATCACTAGTGTCCATCTTAGCTCTTCTCCTATGCAGTCGGGTATGGAGATGCCAATAGCAGTTGACGGGGCCCCAAATGCAGATGAAGGTTCTACTTCATGTAGCTGGAAACCTGGGATTGCTTTGCATCGATTGCAGAGTTTACCAGAAAAAGTGACTAGCATCTTCTTCAAGGAGGTTCCAAGAACCACTGATCTTTCTATCATTGTTCCAGGCCTTTCTTCAAGTGTGATTACTACACCAAAAAGCTCAGTCACCTGCACTTCCGGGACAACACAGCAACAACGGCCACAACAACGCAGCTCTAGTTCAAAGGCATGTCAGGTTGATGGATGTGGAAAGGGGGCCAGGGGTGCTTCTGGCCATTGCATATCTCATGGTGGTGGGAGGAGGTGTCAAAAACCTGGCTGCCATAAGGGTGCAGAGGGCCGGACTGTGTACTGCAAGGCCCATGGTGGCGGTCGGCGATGTGAATTTCTTGGTTGCACAAAGAGTGCAGAGGGTCGGACTGATTTCTGTATTGCCCACGGTGGTGGTCGGAGATGTAGTCATGAAGGTTGCACTCGAGCTGCCAGAGGGAAATCTGGACTATGTATACGTCATGGTGGTGGAAAGAGATGTCGAATAGAAAATTGCGCAAGGAGTGCTGAAGGGCTCTCAGGACTCTGCATCTCACATGGAGGTGGCCGTCGATGCCAATTTATAGGATGCACAAAAGGGGCACAAGGGAGCACAATGTTCTGCAAGGCACATGGTGGTGGAAAAAGATGCACATATCTAGGGTGTACCAAGGGCGCTGAAGGGAGTACCCCTTTCTGTAAGGGTCATGGAGGGGGGAAAAGATGTGCATTCCAAGGTGGTGGGGTTTGTACAAAGAGCGTGCATGGAGGAACCAACTTTTGTGTAGCACATGGAGGGGGTAAGAGGTGTGCTGTGCCTGAATGCACAAAGAGTGCCAGGGGACGTACTGATTATTGTGTTCGCCATGGTGGAGGCAAGAGATGCAAGTTTGAAGGGTGCGGCAAAAGTGCACAAGGTAGTACAGATTTCTGCAAGGCACATGGTGGAGGCAAAAGATGCTCCTGGGGCCATACTGGGTCAGAATATGGCAACCAACCTTCTGGTCCTTGTAACTCTTTTGCAAGGGGCAAGACAGGTCTCTGTGCACTTCACAATGGCCTGGTTCAGGATAAGAGGGTTCATGGGGGTGCAACACTTGGGCCTATTGTCCAGGACGCCAAACTTAGCAAGTCTGAGAAGATGAAAGAGATTGTTACTGGTGAGGAAATGAATGTTGACACCATGAAAATGGGGAGTAGTGTGGAAGCTTTGGCAGGAAGAACTTGTTCTGGTTTGAATCAATATGGAGTTTCAAATGCTCATAACTCTGTGGGGGAAGTAGGCTTCTCTGTTTTAGTTCCTGAAGGTAGGGTGCATGGTGGGAGTTTGATGGCACTGCTAACAGGTGGTTCTGGTCTTGGATCAGGCAACAGTGAGGGTTTGGCTGGTGATCCCTCAGAGCCAAGTAAATCTTTTATGGCGCCTGAGAGCTGGATTTAAGTTTATTTCACAACTATTGTCAAAGTGGTCATGGAAGTTGGCCCACTTTCCCTGCTTGTTTGTGTCCTTTGGTTCTAGTTTGTTAGTCCTTAATTGTTAGAAAGTTGTTGTCATTCATTGGTCTAGATGGTGAGAACGGAAGAGCTTTATCACTCCTATGACAATTTGGGGGAACAGATGGGATGTAGCTAGCGATGAATCAGGTCTTTGTTCTTTGTAAATATTTACATTTGTCCAGCATGTTGTTGTGAATACAGCTAGTGCCTGTAAGGTCAGTCAGTTTGTAGAACATTATGGTTATAATAAGGTTTTCATTGGGGTCATATTCATTATTTAGCTATTTTGGTTAATTGGTTTCATACAATTGTCGATTGCTTTCTTGGCAAGGCATTTTGCAGATAGCATGTAGCTTGTCCTAAATTTGTATGTTTTTGGACAAGTAATGATTTTATTCATCCAAAAGCAGTTAAACTGCACAAGAAACACTCAGTTCAACTCAAACATAGAGGAATTTAAACCCCAAGCGTTACAAAGACTTGAATCGATAGAATCTGCCCTGCCAATCTCTAGCATACTGCCTTCTTGATATGGCCAAGTACCACCTTGTTGCTTGAACCCGAGTGAATTGTCTGCTATTCCTTTCACGCCAAATCTGGTATTTGTAAACATTCCAAGCTATCCGCAGAATAATGGAGATAAGAGCTTTCCTTTTGAGCCTGGTCATTGCCCAATGAAGTTCTTCATCCCAAGCTGCTCAATGAACTTCTATTATTTTATGTTTCGAAGAATATTGCGTGTTTATCGCAAAAAGGGTAGTGTGTGTGACCATGGAATCCTTTACCGTTGACACCGTTAAGTTTAACCGAAACCCGAAGAGCTTATACGAATATTATTGTTGAATTTTGACAGCGCGATGTGGTTTTCCCTCGCACTGATGGAGCAACATTGCCAACATTGATTCCAATTGCGCTGCAGGTCTATCATGCCTCGTCTCCCCACTTTTCCTTTCTATTCCGAAAGTTTTAATTTGTTCCAACTCCTCCCTCCCCCCCCCCCCCCCCCCCCCCACCCCCCCCAAAAAAAAGAAAGAAAGAAAAGAGACTGCTATTGTTTTTCTAAAGCTGTTGATCGATGATTCGATCGGTCTCTTCCCCATTTGATGGTATTTCTTTCTACGGTTTCTGCTAGCCATTCTGTTTCAAAAGATTTTTTTAACACAAACTGCTTTTTGGCTGGTCTGCAACTATGAAGCAGCTTATTCCCCTTTCCTCAGCGCTACTGTTTATTTCGCTCCACTTTTTAGCCTCAATTTAGGTCTATCCTATTTTATATCCCTTCACCCATTCTTGGTTCAAAGGTGAGTGTCGCTATTTTGTTCTCTTAGTTCGTTGTTTGTTTCTCCTTCGAACTAAGCAATGGATGTAATCATGTGATTGTCTTTTGCATATCGGATAGCATTTTCTAAATACTAAAAGAAAAACCACTGCCATTTCTTAAACCCAGCAACCAGACGATTGGCCCTCTCCTCCACTGGAATACAGGGAAAAACTTGTTTCACCTACTATTATTTAAGACCAGTCTTGAAAATTGTTTGTTACCCATCTCTAAATTTTAGAGGACTTTGCTCAAAGCATCTGTACAGATTCTTGAAAGTGAAAGCAGTGTGAAATTCCCTTTTATGGGTTCCAGTTTCTTTATATTTCAACCAACTAAAAAGACGTTATGATGAAAGGGAAAAATTAACTTTATTTTTGGGTTATTACAACATCTTTTAGAATCCCTCTTTACTCTCCCTGTTTGTAATGGTATATTCTTGTATGGTAGTACTGGTATTACAACATCAAGTTATGTATGCATGTGTAGATTCCCCCTCTATAGACCCTCATGCTTGAACTTTGCCATCCTTGAAAGTTCATCAACTGCTTCTACCAGGTGATCAAGCCTAACTACAAATTCAATCATCAAGGAAGTAAAAGTGGCAAGTGATAATGCTGCAGTGCTCTCGAGTGCTCTCATCCTAGGCAAAAAGTCCGTGCCAAAAGCTCCTTCTTCTTCGAAAGCATCCACTTCTCTAGATGGCCAAGAATGCAACCTTCGTGATTGTTTCCTCATCGTCTCATGGTAGGACTCTGTTTGTGCGGGCAGGAGAGTCCCTGACTGCATGTTTTGTGTTAGTTGATTAGAGCTCTTTTCAAGGCTTGTGCTGTCAAGATCATCCAACTGGTCTGGGAGGTCATACGGGGTTGATGATAGAGAATGAGAAAGCTTTGGAAGTGGCTTGGAAGAGTTATCACAATGGGCGGTGAGTAGGTATGAATGCATGTCGATGGCACGTTGGAGTCGCTCGGTTGAGCTGTGAACCCTCTTTAACAGGGAGGTTTTAAGGCTTCGCTTCATTTTGCAAATGTCTTTGCCCAAGCTCCTCACCAGCTCTGCTGCCTGGTTTGTTGCATCTTGAATCTCTGACTGGAATGTGATTCGGAGGTTGTAAGGTGCCTGAAAACCAAGGAAGAGGAGGTTAATCAAATCATGATGCCATCCAGAATTTGGGATTCTTTTCAAATCAGTTGTTATGCTCATGATAATCCTTCGTAATGACGTGTACATGTTGACAGAGACAAAAGTACCTTTTCTTCCTTTCTTGCTGATATATCAGCTTAAGATTAAACTATCGTATTTACTTTTACTGATCTGTCTTGGTGGACGACATCAACAAAAAAGTGATGTGGTTCAAAACTTTCATACCTCGCCATGAATGCTTCTGAAAACCACAAGATATATGGTGACGCAGCCTTGCAATTGTGATCTGCGTTGAATTTAGTATGCTAACAATTTCTAATATACATTTGAAGCTTCATATTTAAAAAGGCAGCCGCCAAACACAAAGGCGGTACAGAGCTGCCCAAGCTTGCATGATAATATCTTGGCTTCTTTCTTGCTCTCATTTTATCATTTTACTCAAGGGAAGTTCTGGCAAGATGTAAGGGAAGGCCTATAATTTCTTGTTTTCTGCTGAGCAATTTGATAAGAACCAGGTCATAGGAATCTTTGTACATCTATAATCGTGGCAACATCGCCACTTTCTCCTTATATGAGATATGAGAACAACGAATAAACAAAAAGGAATGCTTTCAGCATTTTAGACTCAGTGAGCTAATATTCGTGTGTGATTCACCTGAATGGATGCCCACTCGAGAACAAACGCATAGTATAATTCCCAAACCATTTTGATTTGTGGACCTTACTACTATCTTTGTACCTTTTTAGTATTCCTTTGTTACAATAAATCTAGACCGTTGATGTAAGTTTTTGTTTCCACAATCTGAGGTATATTCCTACGGAAATGGTTCTGATTCTGGTAAAATGGAATGTGAATATTCTATCTGTATTTACTATGGAAAAGTGGTAATATGCATGTAAGTGCGAAAAAGAGAAGGTGGGGTATACCTGAATCTCAGAGTGAAGAACTCCATGGAGTGCTATAACCTCATAAGCACAGTATCGAAGAACTGCTCCAACTTTAACATACTCTGACCATGGATAGAAGAACTGTTGGAACCTTCCATGTGGTGGCTCCCATTTTGCTGCATTAGCCTAATAATGGAAACTGGTCAGAATAAGAATTAAGATTATTTTAAGCACTCGAATGGTGGTCAAGACAGAAAACATGTCAGGGAAAAAAGGGAATTTATGCAAGGAACATAGAAGAAATTACCAAGGACTCTAATTTGGCAGAAGAGTTCAATGCGTTCCGGCATTTTCTGTAGGCAGGTTCGTCTGGGAACTCATCCATGACTGTCTTGGAGAATTCTGGATGATCTACTCCTTCATCTTCTAAATATTTCTTCACACATTCTGAAATTTCCATTATGATCGAGTTCTTCGATATCAGTTCCAATTAAATAGCATTTTTAACTTTCATTAAGTCATTCCTTATGTGAGCTCGAGTGTATGTTAATTAAAGGGATATGAGAGAGTTTTCTAATTGCTAATTAATTACCTTCAAGAGCGTCAGCCAGTGAGTTAAAGCTGTTGACTAGCTCTTTGTGCAATTGCTCCCCAGCCCATATAGGGAAAACAATCACGTTCACAAAGACTGCCACAAAACCTCCAATGGCAATAGAGTACAGCCTATCCATGGAAGTTCTAATTGGATTCCCCATTCGATATCCAGAGACTATTATCAGGCAATAGGTGAAAAGTATGACCCGGAAACCATGTTCATAAGGAAGAAATGATGGCCATAGTTTCATGAATGATGTAATAGCCCCTATAAATAATGTTCAACACATATCCCTGTAATTAGTATATGGATTTCTACTTTTAGTTTTTCTTTCTTTGAAGTATTTCATATATTATTTTGATCTTGTAGGAGATATACCGATAAAGAAGATGCTAATTCCAATTATTATAGGCTCAGCAACCCGGCCAGCACGTAGAGCTAACTGAGCAACTGCAATAGCTATGATTCCTGCAAGCAAGCTTCCAAGTGCTCGGTTGAATCCTCGATTAAATGTTGCCCCTACAGAAAATTCACAACAGTAAGAAAATACATCCTTGTATTTTTATTTAATATATAGGAATGATATATATTATTTCTGTGCTGAAACATGTATGATAGTTGTGTTTACTAGTAAAAAATGTGAGCATACATTTAGCTAATTAGGCTTTTTGTGGTGTTGGTTTATGCATAATGCTATGAACATGAATTCATGAATGTTTTGCAAGATGATGTATAGCAGTGCACATACATACCAACTGTGTATTCAAACATGATGGCAACAGTGAGGATGGACCAAATGATATTGGTGCCAAAAATTTCATAAGGTCCTTGTAGTAGTATAAGCAAGGAAACTAGTAAAACAGCTAGTCCCACTTTGAATGAGAATGTTACTCTGTTACTATCTTCTTTGCAAAATTCCCAAACATTCCATATCCAAGCTTTGCAGGAAAAGCCCGGGAAGCCATATTTGTTGCTATCTTCTGGCAGTTTGGCTTTAGTAGCTGGTGGAATGTTGATCTCAACACTGCCCTTTTTTCCGTTCATTCTCCAATGAAGTAATAGAAGTTCTTCCAACCCTGACAGTCCACTGCGGTGTAGCTGAGCTTGTTTAATTCGAATTTTCTGATTAGATAAAAAATTAGGCCAGAGCCAGATGAGGAGAGGAGTTGAGTTTGGAGGTGGGATGTGTATATGGATGGAAACTGGAAGGTTATAAAGGGAGTGCAAGCTAGGTTGTAGGTGCAACTGGGGAAAGAAAGTATGTCTAGTCAGGACTCAGGATATGAAATGTAGAAAAAAGAATTATACGGCAATAATAGAAGAGCAGATGGAGCTAAAAACTCAGGATAAAGATGCTTAACCTCAATAATGCTGCATGGATGGAGAATTAGAATCTAAAATTGCATGGCACTGCATTTTTCAATTGCCACGTTTTCATGGCTGCTAGATTTATGTTCATCTATCATAACCAAACTTTCAGAATATTGTTGTCATCTGATTGTCGACTTGTTGTCAATATAGAAACTCAAATTCATAATTCTTTCAGATTATTCCAAAATAAGCAAATATATGGATTTTATTTGGGGTGTTTGGAGATCGGGGTTGGGTAGTTTAAACAAGAAGCCAAAACTACTCACATTGAGAGGCCTCACTTTCTCATGAGGGAATTATACCTTGACTAAGACTGCTATGGTGTGACCAGTTGTTAAAATAATCACATTGAATTAGAATTTCTCCAGTCCATCATCTTCAACATTCTTTGGTGCTATCCAGTTCTTGATGATTTAAGCATATGAATTATGAGGTATCTGAATATGTAATATATGCTTTTATATTACATGTATTCCTCAAATTTCATTTAATTTAGGATCTTATGCTATGCATTATTCTCTCACAGACAGATGTTTTCCTTCTATTCTATCTCCCTTGTTGGGATGCTTGTATTGCAGTCAATGCTTTCTTTAGAGATGAATCGATGCTGGGAATTTTTATTGCAGTCTGATTGATTATCATTTAACATGGACGATGCATTTTGCTGAGAATAAATGAAACATGGAGGCACAATGAAGAACTCTATGGATACATGCATTAACTTCTGATTGAATAACTGATAACATTATTCTCCATAAACAAATTGACTAATCGAGGAAGGTTTTTTTTTTTTTTTTTTGGTTTATGCAAATTGAGGAAGGCATAAACTGTACTGAAAATGTGAAATTTAGATGAGGAATATATTCCAGGAATAAAACAAAGGCAAATCAGTATTTCTTTCATATCACATGAGAAAATCAATAAATTGAAGATAGCACAGGTGGGTGTGACTCAAACTTTTGACCAAGACTAATGGAAGTAAGCCCAGAAACTTTAAACCCTGCACTTAGCCAGTAGAATCAAAGCACTTTCCGAATTGAGTCCTAATAAATTTAAAATTCATAGGTTATGACTTTTGTTTTTCTTATTTTTTTTTCTGTTTACCCCAGGTACATCCAAATTGCGGACATTCTGGTCAGGTGTGTATTCCTCCAGGCAACTCCTTCCCTGCATTGAAAATTTATGACCAAAGAGAGAGGTGAACCAAGACACTGTAGGATGCCACTTTCAAAGATGAAATAAAATTCTGATTCTGCCGCCAAGTCCAGGGGAGCTGCCTCCATGTAATGGGGAACCTGCCAATCATTATATGCTATAAAGCTTTTGCTCAGATTTAGCATGTGTGAGAAAAGCCAATCTCACAACAGCAATATGCAAAAAAGATAATCAAATTTAATGATACAGGCCACTTGATTATGTCTGTATCATGATCCGGTTTGCAGCAGTTTTCTGTTGCAATTTTGCTTAAGGCCACTAAACCTGAATTTTTCCTGCTCAAGAAACTCTTGTAAGGTACCCCAGCGCCCTGAATAAGATGTTAAAATCATCATAAATCTCGCCGGTGGCTGCTCTTGCGTATGTTTTGTCATTTCAAGCTCAAACTTATATAAGGTTTTTTTTTTAAATTAGTCTTCTTTTGTTCAGGGAGCACTTTCATATCAGGCCAAAAGGTTAAAATGCTTCTTTTTGATTATCCTCAATACTATTCTCTCGGAGGTATTTGATGGTAAAAAATGTACAGTAATTTTTTTCATTTTTAAAATTTTTAGTACATAATTAGAGATATTTTTTTTTATTTATATTGACTTAACATGTTAGGTTGATCTGACATGATCAATGTCATTTTAATTTGTTTTTGTTCTCTTGTGATTTTTTTATTTTGCTTATAAACATGAAGATTTAGATATTACCAAAAGAATGTTCATTTAACTCATTTTTTTCTTTTACTTTCTCATTTTTTTATTTAATTTTTACTTATTTACATGTCAAAATATAAATACAAAAACAAAAATGTTTTCGCTTTTCTTTCTAACTATTTTTTTCTTCTGCATTTACAAAAAAAAAAGTCTCAGATCGGAGCTCAGTACCAATACCATCGAATTCAATCTAATCATGATTAAAATTTTCTTTTATATTTTCTATTCTGAGGCAGACAGATTGGAGGTAATAGACGATTTCGTTTCAAGAAATGACTGCAGAGATCATGCTGCTTGCCTCTGGAAGTTGTTCTTATAATTTCTCTTCATACATCTTAACCTAGTATTTTTCCACATTACAAATCAAAGTTGGTTTGGACTTTGGACTGTCTGATTCCTATATCTCATTAGTTCCGAGCAACAAAATAAAATAAAATCTTACAACCAAAGTAAGACCTGATCTTTCTCATCCACATTTGCCAGTATGTCAGCATTTGCAAGCGCCAAGCAATCATTATTCGGCTTTGCTTTTGCAAGAGAGATGAAGAAAAACTCATTGAAATTTGATTGATTCCGTGGGATTTAGTTCTTCATAACCTTGTTGTGATCTTTCAATGATCAACAACTAATGCAGCAGGAAATGAATTTGGTAGAAATTTGCTAATATTTTGCATCTATGGATTTAGATTAGTCTTTTTCAGTCAATCTTTTAGTCACTTAAGCATGATAACACTGACTTGATAGGCATCCCAACTTTTTTTCTTCATTGTACTAAGAAAAAAAAATACCGTCTCTTTCAGAAGAAATAGTGCAATTCATATGCCATAACCCACATATTAGAGAACTGGATGCCAATGGTGCTCGCAAGCTGGATCCCAACTAATGCTATGAAATGTGCAGGACTTGAGCAGAAGCAAATGGACCATCTCTAGTTAGAGTCAGTGCTCCCCACAGCATAGTTGAATCAGTGCATCGTGAATATTTCAACTTACGATTTGCAACTCAATATATTCAGGGTGGGAGTTCTCTTCCTCATCAACCGATTACTATCATCAGCTAAAAGCTGATCGATTCCATATTTCCATTCGTAATCAGACATATGCTTACCGTTCACAGCATTTATGTGAGAGTCTTGAGTGTTTCATAGTAATTTGTCCATGCAGTGAGTCAAAAAGTAAGATTGATTTTAAACGTCAAAGAGTCAACACTATGATTAAATGAGTTTCATACGTTCAATTTTGCTTTGTGGCTTCAACTTGTTAGCGCTTTTCATTCTCCGTAACACTTTAATTTCCATATAGGGCTAGTATTGGTAAGTAATCAGCTTGAACCGATTTGAGCTGTTTGGCCAATGAGAAAGTTCCTCTTTTCGACCAACCCTCGTGCTACCAGCGATCAAGCGCAAGTACGGGATCTCGTCACTGTAAAAGAAAATATAAAATAGAAGATTTAATGGTACTAATGTAACAGAAAACACCAAAGCGTTTGTAGTCCAACGGTTAGGATAATTGCCTTCCAAGCAATAGACCCGGGTTCGACTCCCGGCAAACGCATTACTAATTTTTTGTGGTTCGCCTGCAACTGATCAATCCAAGAATCTGGTATTTGTTATTCGACGCAACTGGGTCATTTTAGACAGCAAGAAAGGTCTAAAAAAACCAACAATCAGATTGTAGTCAGTTTAGATTAGAACTTGGAAGGGAAAAAGAAGTCATCACTGCTAAAAGTTTACCAAAAGGCAAGAACTGTGTGAAGTTTCATATGAAGGAAGAGCGTGAGCATTTATGCCGTTTCATTTCTGGCAGTTCTCACCAAAACAGGGACAAAAATCTGTCTAACCACGGCGGGTTTCGGATCAGACAGGACATTTTTACTTTGATTGATTAACCTCGTAAGAAGTCAAAAGGTTGACGGTTAATGCAAGAAAACCATATTGGAAAGTAAAAAAATGGGAAAAAAGAGCTTTTATCAGTTGAGGAAACTTCCACATATGACAGCAACTGCCCCTGGTAATGCAACTGTATTTTTTTTATTTTAAAAATTATAAAGAGATAAATTCAATTGGTGAAAGAGAAAATTTCTTTTATCAATTGAGTTCAGAAAAAAAAAAAGGGTAAGATTTAAATGCAGAACGTGTAAAATGCGTTTTTATTATCGTGCAAAAAAAATCAAATAAAAATTGAAAGCATCATTGACCTTATTATAAAAAATAAAGAGAAAATTAAAAAATTATATTATTGAAGTAAATCATACACATACATGTATAATAGTAGCCTCCATCTAAACCCATTTTAGTAATTTAAACACATTTTTTGGACCAATCAGAAAAACTCAAAACGTGTTTTTTACACTTTCAGTTTCGGACAAACAAAACGGCTTTCCTTTTTTAAGTCCTAACCCTCGTCTTTCACTGTCCTAACTTCCATGACTCACATTTGACCTAGAAAACGAAATTGGGCTTTTCATTTTTATTTAAACTATGGGTAACTGCAACGGTCTTCCGTCTAACGGTAACCAATTCCGACCAGACTCCGATTCCGGCGGTGGTCCCCACAGTGGCATCAACGTCAAACCTGCCCCATCGCCGCCAAGAAGCCAACAACCTTCAACCCACCACCACCACCACCTTTCCTCCGCCGCCTCCACAGCTCCACCGATCGGTCGTGTTCTCGGCCGTCCCATGGAGGACGTCCGGTCTACTTACGTTTTCGGCCGCGAGCTCGGCCGTGGGCAGTTTGGTGTTACCTACTTGGTGACTCACAAAGAAACCAAGCAGCAGTTCGCTTGTAAATCTATCTCCACGCGTAAGCTTATCAACCGTGATGATATCGAAGACGTCCGTCGTGAAGTCCAGGTTATGTACCACCTCACGGGCCACAGGTTGCCCCAAAACAAAACTCTGATTTGATATATCTAATTCTGTTTATAGTATTTGGTTGTTTTAAAACTTTTAAGTAAATGGGGTTGACAGGAATATTGTGGAGCTGAAGGGGGCTTATGAGGATCGGCATTCCGTGAATCTAATTATGGATCTGTGTGCGGGAGGGGAGTTGTTTGATCGGATTATAACGAAAGGTCATTATTCAGAGAGGGAGGCGGCTAATTTGTGTAGGCAGATAGTAATGGTGGTGCATAACTGTCATTCCATGGGGGTGATGCACAGGGACTTGAAGCCTGAGAATTTCTTGTTCTTGAGTAAGGACGAGGATTCACCATTGAAGGCTACAGATTTCGGGCTCTCTGTATTTATTAAGCCAGGTGAGCTTTCGTTGTTTCTCTGATTTGAATTTGTTTGACTTTGGATCACTATTAGTGGTAGGTATGAAAATGTGTGCAAAGATTTATGTTGGAAAAAATGGAGGGATATAGAGTTTTCATCCTAATACAGTAGGGTAAAGCTATGAGTTTTGAATTTGCGAGTTGGATTTCTTTTGATGGTTGCTTCTCATGGTACATTGGATGCAAAACTCAGAAGTCTTTTCTGAGAGCTTGACAACAGTTATGTTGGAGTGAAAGTTTCATCTTTGGTTTGATTACATTTAAATGTTGGTCATTGGAACAATATCTTTTTAGTGGCATTGTCTATGTTGTAATTATAAGACAACTAGAGACCGTGTTGAATGGAACTAGAAAAGCATATTGTGCTGGACAGTAATATTGTAGCTATTGTCAATCATTGATGACATGAATGAAAATCTGCATAACCTTCTGTATGATGGAATTTGCCAATCTTAGATGTTTCTAACAACAAAATGCTACTATTTAAAGTAAATCATATTTCTTCATCTTTTATCCACAACCACAATTCATCCGAGTAAGGTAGGCCAAGACAGTTACTTTTCTCATTACTTCTACAACTGAAAGCTTATTGATGATGGGTATCAACTAGAAAGTTTCTCTAATGATACAGGAGACGTTTTGAAGGATCTTGTTGGAAGTGCGTATTATGTAGCTCCAGAAGTATTGCGCCGACGTTATGGATCTGAAGCTGATATTTGGAGTGCTGGGGTGATTCTTTACATTCTCCTTAGTGGTGTCCCACCATTCTATGGAGGTACTAGTTTGTTTCTTATGAATATTAACTGACCTCATAATAATGTACTATAACCATATCCTTTTGTAGGAGTTGGAAATTTTTGAAGTTTTAAAATTTCACTGATTTCCAGTTGATCATATATATAATATAAGAGCTAATTTGTAACTAACACTGCTCAGTGGTGGATGAGTGAGAGGGTTTCTCAACTCAGCTTTTGATTTTGTATGCAGAAACTGAGCAGAGTATCTTTGATTCTATTCTTCGGGGAAATATTGATTTCTCATCAGATCCATGGCCCTCTGTTTCCAGCAGTGCCAAAGATCTTGTGAGGAAGATGCTGCGAGATGATCCTAAAGAACGGCTTTCAGCGTTTGAAGTCTTGAGTAAGTTATTTTTCTTTGTATTGCCTTATTTTTATTTGAAAGTACCTAAGGATTGATTAGGGTTTCTTGCAAGATGACGGTGGTTGTGTTCTGTTGTGAAGGATAAGGAAGTTAAAAGCCTTGTACTTGAAACTATCAAGTTGCTTGTCAAAGTCAAATCTTGAACTTTAGTTTGCATCACTTCAAATTTCGTTTCAATTTTCTAGGCAATTCTGTAAAAAGGAGATAAAGCTTCGCTTACTAATTGCACTGCAGATCATCCATGGATGCGTGAAGATGGTGATGCATCTGATAAGCCTCTTGATGTTGCTGTTTTAACTAGAATGAAGCAATTCAGGGCAATGAACAAACTCAAAAAAGTTGCTTTAAAGGTGAATTGCTTTCTCTGTTACCATTATGAAATATTAATACATAAGGTACAAAATTCATGAATGTGAAAAAAAAGATAATATAATGGGGGATGAGACAAAGAGGTGTTCTGACCTAAAAGTTTTGAAAGCTGAGAATAAAAATAAAAAATAGTTAAAGATCCATCTTCAAGAGAACAAGCTAAAGATGGCTGTATGAAGGTGATATACCTTTTTCTGAAAAACTTCTCTTCTTTGGTTGACGTAGTAGCTCAAGTGCAATTTTCTCGTAATAAATTTGAAAGATCATTCTTCTATCCAAGTATATGTAGGTATCTCTAGGGACCTTAGCAAAGACTTCTAGTCTATTTTTGGCTATTATTTGATGGCAGCAATGTGGCAACTTCTTGTCTGTTTCTTTCTTTCTTTCTTTCCTTTCAGGTAATTGCAGAAAATCTATCTGAAGAAGAAATCATAGGTTTGAAGGAGATGTTCAAATCAATGGACACTGATAACAGCGGAACAATCACCTTTGAGGAGTTAAAAGCTGGCCTTCCAAAACTTGGTACTAAGCTTTCTGAGTCTGAAGTGAGACAGTTAATGGAAGCGGTATGCCTTGGTCCTTTTATGTGCATCCTGACTGATAATCACTGTGCTTTTAAATAATTTACTCAAACTCCAATCTAGTGATGCACAATGAATGTCTGGATGGCACAACATTTCCTTCCTAACTTTGGTCATTACTCATTAGTGTTAAGTATAATTATCTTTGTGTAAGTTCAAGTTTCATGCTTCTATTCTTGGTTAAAAGAAATAAGAGCCTATAGGACTGAGGAAAAATGTAGAAATTGGTAAATTTTACGAGGACAATAATGCTGAGTGAGGCCATCATACAACTTGTCATCTCATTATATAATGCTAAATAGATGACAAGACAGGGACCACATGTGTTGGAGGCCTGTAAGCATTCTCTCAAGCCAACCTGAAGTCATTGTCTAACTTCTGCCTGGCTAAACATGCTATTGGAACCCTTGATTTTCCAGTTAGCTATAGTGGAGCCAGAAAGCAACTCAAAACCAAGTATTGAGTAAGGAAAGATGAATGTATCTTCTAGGAGTGGCTTAGTGGTATCTCACCATAAGAGTTCATCTTTATTTTACTTTATTGCTAAACTAATATGTAATTGAGGTAGGCTCAACGAATGTCATTTTTTGTTTTGCAACACACCATCTCAGCATCCAGTCATGGTTTTGTTCTATGAATGTGCTATTTCTTGGTTGACAATAATATGCATTCTGCTGCAATCTTAATCACAGACCAGAACTGAAAGACTGCTGGAATCTATAAATTTTCTATTTCTTTGATTGACATGAATACTGTGTTTTCATTTGCTACCTCAAATATGTCAAATGTATGTGTAAATCTCATTACGCAAAATGTTATTCATAACTTTGCTATGGTATATAACCTGCTTGTTACTTCCCCAGGCTGACGTTGATGGAAATGGAACAATTGATTACATTGAGTTTATAACAGCTACCATGCACATGAATAGAATGGAAAGAGAAGAGCACTTATACACTGCCTTCCAATACTTTGACAAGGACAATAGCGGGTAATCAGTCTTACCATCTTGTTATAGTATATTATATAACTATTTTATTGTAATTTTGATTCCCTAGTCATATGTTCCCATTGTGATGTCTGAACATATTTGTTTGCTACTCAAATTAGGTACATTACAATGGAAGAGCTAGAGCAGGCCCTTAGGAAGTATAATATGGGTGATGAGAAAACAATAAAAGAGATCATTGCAGAAGTTGACACGGATATGGTATATGCTTCTTCCTCTTTGGAGACAATTATCTATTCTTACTCTTTCCAGATGCTAGTCTTATTTATTTATATTTTCTTCTCTTCTAACATACTTAGCTTTAGCTGATAGCGAATCCATATAAATAAAAATGTTTTGCAATTGGGTTATTGAATTAAATTCTAGCTGTTATTTAGATAATCAAAACCTATTATTTTTCTTGACCATTGTAATCGCATCTTCATATTTGATGTACCATTTTCCTCCCGCAGGATGGAAGAATTAACTACGATGAGTTTGTTGCAATGATGAGAAAAGGCAACCCAGAGTTGGTTGGTAACCGACGACGCAAATAAGCTGAATGCAGCTTTTATGTCTGCTGGCTCAAATTCATGTCTCGACTGGTTTATTAATTATGTGGTTTTGTCATGACCACAATCACATGTAATCTCAGTTTCGCCACATGGGATCGTGAGATAGTCCTTGCTTTCTGAAATCATTTGTGGTTGTCGATTCTTGCCCATAGAAATGGACTAGATTGCCATCAAACTGCGGGGGAGTGTAATTATATTGAGGTTCAGCATTTTTCTTTGTTTAAATGTGCCAAATTAAAATGAACTTAAACCTTCCTCAGATCCACAGCAGATTAAAAGAGGGAGAACATTGTTTTAAGTTTTTGCTTGCTTGTATTAGAAAGTCACATATGCATTGATTAAAGGGTTAATGTCATGAATGTTCTTTAAATTATAATGAAATATTTAATGTGATATGTAAACTTTAAAAATTTTTAATTTGATACTTAAATTATAAATATGTTGACTAACGTGGTATTTGAAAGAGAAAGATTGTATGTTCATCATGTGTTTTCATTTGAAATTAGTTATATTAGAGATGGGTATTATATTAATTAATAAATTTAAGATTCATAATTCAAGTATCATATTAAAAATTTTAAAATTGTATCATATTAAATATTTTATTATAGTTTAAGGGTTATTTGATATTAACTCTTGTTTATATGGTTAGTCAGTTAGATCATTGTAGTGTGACATTTCTTGCCTCATTTGTGCTACTAAAGTCTGGGTGCTTTTGGCAAATGGAGCAAATCCTCTCCTTGTAGCGACTGCTAACTGAGTGAACTCTGTTTTTTTTTTTGGGTTAAAGTAACTGAGTGAACTCTTTAACAGATTAATGTTTTGCTTAGGAATCCGATATTTTAATGCAAGTTTATACAAAGACGGGTTTCTCAATCGGTATTTAGATTTAGTACGGGTGGATCTAGCTTTATTTCTTTTCTATTAAAGTAAAACACTTTCTCCTTTCTTGTTATTCAAAAAACTCCCACTTTTCCTGTTATCCCCTTATTACTTCAGTCAGTCAAGGAACACAAAAGTTGAAAGGGCCTATGTTATTGTCCTTCTATGTCGATACATCTGAACAAATATCTTGTATATGAAGCTCATTAATAAACAATCGAGGTAGCTGGGCTGCTGTTCTTTTTTTTTTTTTTTTTTTTTTTTTTTATCAATGCATTTACATAGTTTTTGAACATCATGATTCGTACTCCAAAAGTGGAAAGCAGGCAAAAGGATAAGGAAAAACAATCGGCTCCATAAAAGTCAAAGGTAGTAGGTACTTAAAAAAAGAGCCTTATTTCGTGGTGGGGTCTCTTTAAATTAATTTTTAAGACATAATGTCTTAGTCTATTTATAAACATGTTTCTCATTTTCTTTTATCATTATGCCCACATCCTTGATTAATTATTGGAATCCACAGCCCTACATGCCTCAGGCAAGTAATTTTGGATATATTAGAATTTTGCCACAGCCAAGAAAATTTTTGTAACAAAAATTTTGATATTTAAAGAAACACACACTATCCTTGTCTTATAAAAAAAAAAAAAAAGAATTGAGAAGTTTAACAGGTTAACTATCTTCGCGATTGGTCACACAATTTGTGTTTACTTAAGAAAAAAAAAGTAAAACTTTATGATGTTTGAAGAAGCATATTTTATTTTACTTTTTTGATCTTTTTCTGTCTGGTATTCCTGCTAAAGTGCAGCCTTGGTTTAGAAATATCGAATGAGATCTAAACAGCCGTAATTTAAAAAAAAAAAAAAAAAAAAAAGGAAAACAGGGAGATAGCTATGATTCCATTCCACGTCCTCGCTGTTACAGAACTGTAAAAAGAAAACCAACATTTAAACAGAAAGAAAAATAAAATAAACTAAAAAAAACAACCGAGAGATTTGGTCTGTCTGTTGCAACTTGAAACAATGTTTGAACATTCAACCATCTAATCTAATGCAATCCCACATGTAATTAGAAAACTCCTGTCTTCCTCCTCCTTTTTTATTTTTTTTTTGGTTCTTTTTAGGGGTTTTAAACAAAGACATACAGAGCACGAGAATCCACACGACAAAAGCTTGCAAATTATGGTAAGTGTCTAAGCTAAAAGCCCCAAACTTTCTGCTTGTTTCTCAAGAAAATTTTTAGACAAGAACCACTTTAGGCTTTTTATGAAGAACCCAGTTTAGAGTTTGTTTTGATTTGCATAGAAGTTTTAACTTTTATGTTTTTGGTTTCATTTTAAACAATATGAAAGCTGTTGCCTTGAAATTTAAGCGATCAACTGTGATTTACTGTACAAATTTGAAAGTCAATAAAGTCAATGTGGGATTTTTATTACTGTTTTTGGTTGATCGTCTAATGGAAGTTGATCTTATAGCAATAAATGGAAAACCCATCTTCTAATCAATATGTTGTCACATGGATTGACTGATTTTAAATACTTCAAAATTCATGCAATCTGTTTTGTCTTTAAAGCAGGTTGAGAGAAGATATCAATGCAAAGAAGTGCTACTCTTAGCTTATCAGAGTTTTGGTGTACTCTTTGGTGACCTGAACATTTCACCACTTTATGTGTTTAAAAGTACATTCTCTGGGAAGTTGAGCAATTACCAATCTGAAGATGTTATATTTGGGGCGTTATGCTTGATTTTTTGGACTTTCACACTTCTTTCCTTGTTCAAACATGTCATTATTTTGTTCAATGCGGATGATAATGGTGAAGGTAAGGGTTGATTTTTTTATCAACTTTCAGTGTTATGAATCTATATGGTTGATTAGTGATAACCCTTTTGGGGTCATTTTCAGGAGGAATTTTTGCTTTATACTCGCTCCTTTGTAGGCATGCAAAGTTTTCTTTGCTTCCCAATCATCAAGCAGCAGATGAAGAGCTTTCTACATATCACGGTCCACGCTACTCATACAGAAATCTGCAGTCATCATCAGTCAAAAAGTTTGCCGAGAGGCATAAAAAGTTGAAAACTGCTTTGCTTCTTCTGGTTTTGTTTGGTACTTGCCTGGTTATTTGTGTTGGCTTCCTCACACCAGCAATGTCCAGTATGTGCTTTTGTTTTCCTATTTAATTTCATGCTGTTGATTTCATTAATCTCTTAACATTTCGTAGTGCCGGTCGTCAACATTTCTCAATTTCTGTGCTAATAGTTATTATTTGCAATTTCAGTTCGTTCATCCATTGAAGGGCTGAAGGTTCAATCAAACAATGTGCATTATGGTAAGTGCAGCTCTCTGGAAAACAATATTTGTCTTTATCCTGTTCATATGTTCTTGATGTCTTTATGGAATTAGTGAGGGCATATGAAGTTCAAGTGACTGGTGTCTTGATATCAAACTGATTTCTTACACCAAAGATAATACTATAAACTTATAACAGATAAACAGGACAAGCCTAGCCTCACTTCCTTCTTCTGTCATTAATGAATGTGTTGTTGTATGAAAAGACAAACTGTAATGGGTTATGCCTTTTTTCCTTTCCTATTCAAATGTATTCCATCTTAGCTTCATATATTGCCATTTAAGCTGCTAACAATTGTCTATACACAGGTGTGGTGGTTGTCTTAGACTGCATTTTGTTGGTTGGCCTGTTTGTTTTGCAGCACCGTGGCACCTATAGGGTGGCCTTCCTGTTTGCCCCTCTAGTGATTTTGTGGTCATTGTCCATTGCGGCTATTGGTCTCTACAATATCATTAAGTGGAATCCAAAAGTTTACAAGGCCCTTTCTCCATATTATATCTACACATTCTTTAGGGATACCGGATGTGATGGTTGGATTTCTCTTGGAGGAGTACTTTTGTGTATCACTGGTAAATCCGAGATTTGGGATTCAATAGAAGTTCAATTTTCTGGCATCCTTGTTTTCTAGATTCATGTATGCCTTTCTTGTCAACTACAGGAACTGAAGCTATGTTTGCAGACCTTGGCCAATACACGGCTTCATCAATAAGGGTATGGAAACCAACTGTTAAAGAGGCTTTCAAGTATTTAATTCTTCTTGGTAGGCATAACTAAGATATAAGAGCTTTTGAGGCAAAAACTTTATTCAAGCTTTGGTTCTTCGCATGGTGGAAAGAAGGAAATCTTTTTCATAAAAACATAACCAGAATATTCTATAACTGTTCATTGCTGAACCAATTGAGCAGATCGGTGAGCAGTATGTTAAAATTTCATCCTTGCTATTTGCTAACATAAAGAGAGAAGGTTTGGCAGAAGGAATTCAAGCCTGGTGATCAATTTTTTTTCAGTAATTCTATTGTCCCAATGTCATATAACAGCTTATCCTCCTCTTCATATTCACTGTCAAAAGTGCCTTTTGAGGAAGAGGACTAACTTGCAACAGTGCCATATGCATAATTTTTAGTGGAAATTGCTGGCATCCTGTAAATTGGAATTATTATGGTCTTCACTCAGGAAACTAGGCTGAATGGTCTTTAAGTTGTGGCTGTGTAAACCATGTTATGCATATGAATAAAAAGGGAGGTAACAGGGAAATTTTGGTGTTAATTCCATTATCATTTTGTATGTGTTTGTCAAATGGGAAAGAGATTTTACTTTTTTCCATGATCTGTAGTGCAGTTATTCTTACTTGTTTCAATGATTGAAGTCCATGCTTCAGTCTTACAGTCTTTCATCTACCTTAGCCTTTTTTGAGTTCGTTCATTCTATTATTGATGCCAGATTAATAGTTCTGATTGGTTTTCTGTAAGTAGCTTATATGTTGGTTTGTAGTGTTTTTCATATAATTTGTTATGATGTCCAAGAAAAACTCTGAAGACTTGTTTCCATATGCAGCTATCCTTTTTTTGCGTAATTTACCCATGTCTAGTGCTTCAATACATGGGGCAGGCTGCTTTTCTTTCAAAGAATTTTGCTGCTGTATCCACAAGCTTCTATGCGTCCATTCCAGGTAAGCTACTGGATTCCTCTAGTTTTACGGTTTCTACTTTCCGCTCCTCTAAATCGGGGTTATCAGGTCTTCTATTTACAATACGTCTAAAGGATTTCTTAGCAGTTATAATTTAGGAAGTTCTAAGCACAGTGTAAAAGACCAAAACATTACTTTTAGATGTGAATTTATTTTGCTCGTTGCGTCATCTGCATGGTAATTGGTTGTTGCACTATAAGGTTTATTTCAATATGCTTACACTGTCTCCATCAATATCCTTTCTTTAAGAATTGTTATCATACAGGTCTACTAGAACTTCTGGACTGTCAACCACTCCAATTCTTGTATTGAATTACTGTTAAACAACAATGATGTATAGCCTTCTCACATAGTCACTTCAAAATTGATTTTGTTATCATTGTTTACAGAATATTCTTGCCATGTTTGTAGATTCCTTGTTTTGGCCAGTTCTTGTGATGGCAACTTTGGCTGCAATCGTTGCTAGCCAGTCTATAATCTCTTCCACATTCTCTATCGTGAAACAATGCTATGCCATAGGATGTTTCCCTCGTGTCAAAATTGTACATAAATCAAAATGGTTCCGTGGTCAGATATACATTCCAGAGATCAATTGGGTCCTTCTGATTCTCAGTCTGGCAGTCATGATTGGTTTTAGAGACGTAAATCATTTGGGAAATGCTTATGGTAAGTTGTATTCATTCAAAAGTATACTCAGGTGACATCTGTTCCTCTGCTTCAACTGATATTATATTTGCCTTGAGAAGAGTAACCATTTATCAAGGGAAAAAAAAGAAAAGATATTATATTGCATTCTCTCATACTGATTAAGTTGTTTACTGGAAATAACAATTAACTGTGCATGTTTCATTGAGAATGTTTGAATTTTCTGGCATATAAAGATCACCTAAGTCATACATAGGGTGCTAGACAAGTTGGGTCACTAACATTGGATAGGATGAAGGTGGGGAAGCAGCATTAATCAATGTAAATCTCAGTTCAAAGCTGGATGTTGTGCATGTATAACTGTAATACTTATTCAGTTGAGTTCATCTTTGAGAAAATTACGTTTCATAGGTTCTTGAGAAATTTTTATGTTCATATTCAATGGTGTTACACATATAAGTTTATACTTATGCAGGTTGCATATTCTTCAAATTTTGTCATAGTACTGGTCCAAACCTTAGTTTATTGGCTTTTTCTTTTTTGCTTTGTGATACATAATCTACTATGCTTTTTCTTTCAGTTAGATCTATCGAATGTTAGTTTAGACAGACAAAGTGAAAGTAGTAAAGTTTTATCTTGTTGGCAAGAGCTCTCATGTGATTCAGCAACTGATGGGAGAGGATGACGAATGCTTTGACATCATAGATAATGTCTTTCCTCTTTATCTTTCCTATCTGAAAATATGGTTGCAATCTTAACTGCAGGACTTGCCTGCATGACTGCAACATTTGTGACAACATTGTTGACAGCATTGGTCATTAATTTTGTATGGCATCAGAGTCTTGTACTTGCCCTTCTATATGTCCTCTTTTTCGGGTCAATTGAGATCATCTTCCTCTCGTCAGCTTTTATAAAAATCCCTAAAGGTGGATGGGTTCCTCTCATGCTCTCTGTGATCTTCATGCTTGTCATGTATGTGTGGCATTATGGTTCTAGGAAGAAGTATTTATATGATTTGCACAACAAAGTATCAATGAAATGGATCCTCACGCTGGGTCCTAGTCTTGGAATTGTTAGAGTCCCAGGGATGGGCCTTATTTTCACTGAGTTGGTTAGTGGGGTTCCAGCCACATTTACCCATTTTTTAACCAATCTACCGGCTTTTTATCAAGTGGTTGTCTTTGTCTGTGAGAAGACTGTTCCTGTACCATATGTCCCTCAGAAAGAACGGTATCTCATAGGCCGTATCGGTCCCAAATCTTTCCGAATGTACCGCTGCATTGTTAGAAATGGTTACAAAGATGTTCAAAAAAATGAAAATGGTTTCGAGAATGACCTTGTCATGAGCATAGCAGAGTTTATCCAACTAGAAGCCGAAGGTTGTGGAACTGTTGATGGATCTGTGGATGGTCGATTGGCTGTTGTTAGGACATCTGACAAGTTTGGCAAAAGGTTGGAAATGTCAGAACCTGAGGGATATGGAGAAGGTAGCAGTTCAATGCCCCCTGCCATTTTGAATAGCAGCAAGTCACACACATTGCAGTACTTGCAATCCACGTATGAGTTGGAATCACCCCGGTTCAGCCTAAGGCGGCGTGTTCAATTTAAGTTGCAAGATATGAAATATAAGGATCCAAATGTGAAGCAAGAGCTGTTGGAGCTAGTGGAAGCTAAGCATTCTGGGGTTGCATATGTAATAGGTCACTCTCATATAAAGGCAAAATGGAATGCCTCATACTTGAAGAGTTTTGTGATCCAAGTGGTATATTCTTTCTTACGTAAAAACTGCAGGGCTCCAGCTGTTGTCCTGAACATTCCTCATACTTGTTTGATTGAGGTTGGTATGAACTACTATTTGTAGAACAACATTTTGCCCCACATCTTCAAGGATGCATCAAGATTTTGTTCTTCCAAGATTTTCTTTTTCCTTTTTTTTTTTCCTGCTATTGTTAAAGTGATAAGTTCTGGATTGAGTTACTGATGCTAGCTGAGATGCACTTTTGAACAATGGGTTATTGAGTTTATCTTTACTTTGGTGTTAGCAGAAGAGCTACAAATTGGTTATCAGTCCTTATTTATATAACATTGGGAATTTCACAAATGTTTTTGCGCCCTTAGGATTCATTTAAAGGGAGGAATTCTCCTTTCGTCACAAGTACGATTTATAATGAATCAAGGACCGGTTATAAAACTTTGCTTCTTCACGTGCCTGTAGTTGATGATGATTTTCTATTGATGATTTCGATTGTAGTCTCATTCCAAGTTTTGGTTGAACCTACACTGAAACTTTAAAAGAAGAGAGAAAATTATTTCAAGCCTGCTGTCAATGTCACTTTTTGTGAGGTTTATATTATTCTTATCAGTTATAGTATGAGAAACAATATGCTGTAAATGTCCCAAAAATATAATAAAATCTTGTTTAATGTCGCTTTGCATTTGGGATATTAAACCACTAAACATCATCCCTTGACCGAGAGACAAAAAATCTAACTTTAAACCTTAATTTCTGCAAAAATAATGTTAAAGTAATTAGCCTTTATTTGTGAAATAACAAGAGAAAAGAAATAGAGCTGCTTAATTATTCAGTCTCTTGAACTCTTAAATCACTTCCCAAATGAACAACCATAATTTTTATTTATAGAAATTAAATCTTGAAGTTGTGATTATTTGATTATGTTATTTTAATCAAACACCACTTCTGTTAATCAAAAAATTATATTTTTGAATAATTAAAATTATATTAATTTATTTGTTCTAATAAAAATAATTTTTCACATTTCAAAAATTTATAATTTTTCAACTAAAATAATCAATTACTTTCAGAAAGTAATCAATCGTTCTTTTGTAATTTCTATTTCCAAAACTTGGAATGAGATTATGTTATTGAAGTTTTTAATAAAAATGAATAGCGAGAATTTTTAAAATTTTTATATGGATCATTATTAGTTTATATATAGATCATGGATTTTTAAAAATATCACATTTGTAATGCATGGAACGATGTTTGTTAATATACAAGTTAAAGCAAAAATATTAAATAAATTACCACGTGTAAAATATTACCCACGTGTTAAGATTTTTTTTTTTTAATATGAAGACAAACGAATAACAAGTAGGAAATTGCATTGAGATTTTTAAAATATAATTTTTATATTTTATTAATTGATTTTTTTTTTGAGAAAACGAGTTTCACTGTCGCAATTAATAACATGAAAATGAAATGGACCACAGAGTTAATTTAATATTTGGAAAAGGAAATTCCCATGTGATTTATGAATTCCCCGTTTCTAAATCCTCTCCACCAGAAAAAATTCACTCCAAGGAAACTGGAAAGTAGCTTCCGCCACCCCCAAACTCAAAACCCAAATTCATAAATTAAGGTTTTTGATTTGCGATCCCCACATTTCTTGTAAAAATTGTGCCTTTTTAATGCAAGTTATTAGAGTTTTTGAAATTAGGGCCTCATGTTGAGCTCCTATTGCTCTCACTCTCTATCTCAGCGCCCAATTCTCGCACCATCTCTCTCCACATTTCGGGTTCCGGACCGACCCGGTATATTTTCTTTAACCCGGAACTCCAGGATTTTCGAATCGAATCCCAAGCTCACACAGAACGTAAGTATAAATCCACAAGCACTTTTGTTGTTTCCATTTCTCTTTTAAATTTCATTTTTATGTTAAATTTTGGTTTTTGAGAATCTGAAGTTGAAATTTTGAAATGGGCTATGTTTGGTTGTCGATGAAATGTAGGAAAATTTAATTTGAAGTTATAAACTTGAAATTTTAAATCCGTTCAAACCTGTCTTGGTTAATTTAACTTTCACCTAAATGAAAATTTTGTTCAATATTGGCTTTGGACCCTGAAGTTGAATTATAGTTAGTTTGGTTCTGATTGGTTGCCGAGAAAATGGTGGAAAAAGAAGGAGTAAATTATGTAGCAGGAAACTTGATTTAATGAACTTAAGCCATTATATCTTTAAAGTTAGTAGCTTTGTCAATTGGTTGAGTTTTTAGAGTTCAATTGAATATCTCCTTTATTTTGGTTATTTAATGAAATTAGTTTGCCTATACTATTGTTTTACAGTCATTTCTTTTTTTTTTTTAATTTGCAGAAATGGAAAATTTCATTCTTTAGGCATGAGGGGTTCTCCCTTGAAAACCCAAAATCTGAATACATTGAGCATTTTCTGCCCGAAGAATTAGTACAACCTGAGTTCAATAAGTCTGGTGCTCGCAAAAGAGATTGGAAATCAACTCTTCAGGAGGTAATGTTTTCCTTTAATTCGGTTCAATGTAATGGACTACAGATGTTTATTGTTTATGTGTGCAATAGTTATTACTTTCAGTTTAATCTGTATTTCCTCTATCAGACATTGGTTGATCGTTGAATCTATTAGCAACCAGTCTCTAAATAGGCTGGGTGATGAATTTATTAACTAAAGTTGAGTCTGAGATGGTATTTATGGGAGAATTAGTTGTTGCTTATTTGTCCTAAGTGAACTTATTGGCAAATGATGAGAATAAGTTATATGGGCCGTTTTACTGAATATCATATGGCTCTAGGCATATGAATTAGGTGGTTTTTTGGGATGTTAATGGTTAATGTATGGGGTAGGTAGAACATTCCCCATCCATATCCCTAGATTTTTATATTATACTCATTTCTGTACTCATACCCAACGGGTTCAAATCTATCCCATCCCCATGGGTATTTAATGGGTACAGAGAATTCCCATACCCGTAAAAAAATTTTTAAATAAAACCAAAATTTTTTTTGCTTTTTATTTTATTTATTACATTTATGTAATTTTTCATAAATATATTAATATATATTTTAAATAAAAATATATTAGTTTTAATTAATCTAGAATAAAATTTTATATTATTTAATAAAAATCTATTTACTAAATATATATAATATATAAGGTACGAGTGCGGGGCGTGTACCATATTTCCCGTCCTCATCCTTGTCCTCATATCGGATAAAAAATTTAAAATCATATCCATCCCATCCCAAAAATTTAATATCCATCGCCATCCCCATCTCCATCCCCATTAGGATAGAAATTTGGGTTTTCTATAAGGTGTGGGTAAAATTGACATCCTTAGGGGTTTTAGATCATGCAAAGTGGTAGAGTAGTTCCTGTAGTTGAATTCTGTGATGGTGAGTCGATGAATCTATTAACCAACCTGTTGAGTATCAAATCTTACATATTGAAACTGTACTGAGATGAAGCAAATGGCATTCAATGACCAGCAAACCTGATATGGTTGTGTGCATATTCAAGCTATGAATAAACAGCTGGCCATGTTCCTAGTAATTCTACAAGAAAGAAGATGACAAATTCCTTCAAAATGTATAATACTGGAGATCCTACCTCTCTCATTTCTTTCATATCAAGCAATTAAATTGGGATCAAGACGTTTTTTTTTCCCCCATTTTTGTCTTTCTTTGAAAATTGAAATTTATTATTAATGCAGACAAGATTATAGTTTCAGAGGACATAAAATTTGAGCGTAGTGCAGAATTGTCAAATATGTCAACATGTTTGCTAATCTCTTTACATTTCTTTCCTTTATTTCTTGTTTAATTTTGTAGGGAAAATGATGAAATTAGTTGGTTATGATGCAGGTTGCAGATGTAGTCTTGAGTGCAGTTGGTAGCAGGTGGACTGTACCATGGACAGCAGAGACCATTCTGCAGGTTAGTTTGTTCTCAACTGGCTTCTTAACTTTTATAGATGTTAAGAATGTTTTGTCAATTAATTGTACAGAAATAAGCAGCTTGAAGTCCATGAACTCTAACACTGAGTGTTGTGTGGCAAAGCTACCAACTGGGAGCTGCAGGAGATGACATATGGTGGATTCAATTCATTGTTTTGATCCCTAAACGGATCAACAAGAGAAAAGAAAATTGAGAGACATTGTTTTACATCCTTCCTAACTTGTTATTGGTTGTAGGTCCAATATCTGCTGGTAGATCAAAGCTGAACAGGAATACATATTTGTTTTCTGTTTTATATCTGATAATTAACAATTGTTGTCCAGGAGATAGGGTTGAAAATTAATTTCAGTAAAAAGTGGAAGAATATTTCATAATAGGTTAAAATTATCATACCTGATGCTAGATGTTGTCATTAAACATACATCCTTATTAGCATGTTAAGCTAGAAACTATAACAAAGGATGGAACTGAAGGAATGGCATCTTGTCTGACAATGTCTTTGAAACTTGGATGAATTACAAACATGTAAATCAGTTGCATGATAATATTTTCTGTGCTCACACAGGTTATGCTTCTCTGGGTAGCTACATTCTGGTTCGTTGGGTCTTGGATGATTCCTTTCGCTGCTCACATGGCAGGGTTAAACAAGGAATCTCTAACTTTCAGAGGACAAGCCTTGTTTAGCCTTGTAACTGATGTAACTGAAGGCCTTGCTGGGATTGCAATACTCCACCGCTGTCTGTCTCAGTTTTATCCCCTTCCATCAGATTGGTTTAAATTTAGCTTGAGAGGGAAGTGGCTTTTTGATGTTGTGCTAGGATGCCTCATGTTTCCTGTTGTCAACCGATTATCACAATTCAACCTCAACTTGTTGCCCCTTATGCCTTCTACACCTGTAACCCTTTCAAGTGTTGAGCAGTCAATCTTAGCAAGGGATCCAGTAGCCATGGCACTATATGCGGTAGTAGTTTCAATTTGTGCTCCTGTATGGGAGGAGATGGTTTTCCGTGGTTTCCTTCTCCCTTCCTTGACCAAGTACATGCCTGTATGGTGTGCAATACTGGTTAGTTCAGTTGCCTTTGCTCTGGCACATTTTAATGTACAGAGAATGCTACCACTTATTTTCCTAGGAATGGTGATGGGTGTTGTTTTTGCACGGTCAAGGAATCTATTGTCATCCATGCTTCTGCACAGCCTCTGGAATGGCTTTGTGTTCTTGGATTTAATGAGATAAGCATCATTGCCTTCTCATATTAGCTCTCTTGTTGGTTGATTTTCTTTATGTTAAATGTATAATAATTCTTGCTTTTCCATTTGTAGCTGGGTGATTTGAAATTCCTTCCGCTGTGTTAGGCCAAGGCGATTCAATAATCAATCAGATTATATTTTAATAAAAGGATCTTAGTCGGTATATGCATGGAGATTCCCCTTTAATTTCTTAATACTTGATTGCCACTACTTTTCCCCTAACATTGTCTTTTCAACTAATTATAAAATGCTTTTGACACAATGTTTTCATCCTCTCTTGCACAATTTTATCCTCTTTAGTGTTATGATCAACCCCACAAATAACCATCAAAACGTATTATAGACGACGCAGTACTTGAATGCTCTACGACTCTTGCAGTGGTGCATGTGAAAGTGGTTTGATAACAAAAACTGACATGTTAGCTTTTGCAGCATCATCAGTCACCCGACAAGGATCCGTCTCTTCTGCACATGGTCGTCGAGCTACTTTTTCTAATTGTGAAATACCAGACATTGGTATGATGCTAATTGTGGAAGTAGTTGGTTCCTGTCCGCATAATTTTTTTCAGCTCCACTTTCACAAAATTTCTTGTACATGCTTCTCGACTACTTTATCTAAAGCAGATCACAGATGCCAAAGGAAATTTTCTTCTTGAATTTGTTTCCAAAATCCAAAACAATCCAATTTTCTTTTACAGATCAGAACGATTTGGTTTGTCACTCTTTTGTACTCATGCTCTCCACTGAGACATTGTAGCCCTTTGTGTATCACATACATTCCATTGACAATTTCACTTGTAAAGCTGTAAATAATCACCCCAATACAACATTTTATTAAAACCATTGTCCTTTTTCTTTTTTTTTTTTCTTTTGCCTGGAAGGTAAAGTAGAAACCACCATACAATTAACTGGCATCAGATCATGTGAAAGCTTGATTGGATAAAGTTAAGAAAGGTTCCGTCAAGCAGAAGTCAGGCAATGGATCAGATCCGCTGGTTTGGAAGGTCAAGGCTTTTTGTAGTTGGGGGCAGAAATCAGAACAAAGTAAAACCATGATCAACTTCGTCTTCCTTACAATGCTTCTTCTCCATTGGTAGAAATGTGCTGCTGCTGTTTCGTGTGTCTAGTTGTCACATGCAGTTACAGCTGTAGTTAAGTTGATACATGATCTGCTTCGAACTCTCAAGCAAAGCTGCTTTTTTTAATTCCCCATTGTTATTACAGATACAATGCTTCTTCACTCAAATGTCCCATTTGATTCTCCCCCCATACGGGCCACACCTCGATGCCATTTGATAGGATCCCAAAAATTCTGCAAACCTTATCTGATTATTACCACAGTTGGGCGACAACAATAGGCGACGGTTTTATTACATGCAGACTTCCTTCGTAATATTGCGCCAAGTAGTCCTGCAAAATTAAGAATAAATAATTCAACAACTAATTATTTAAACTGTCAAACAGAACCATAAACCGTCAAATACTGCCACATAAGCAAATTTTTGATTACTCATCAAATTCTCCCTCTCTGTTTTCCCCTTCAAAAACTTCAGAAAGAAAGAACCGTAGAGACTCCAGAAATAGCGGGAACCGACTCCATCACTCTTCCTCAGCCACCATCCGCCCCTTTTTTCCCCTTTGCGGTGACACCTCGCTGTCAAAACATCCGCTTCTTTCGCTTCATTTAAATTGAAGTTTCCATTCAATTATTAGAAACCCAAAAAGGGTATACGTACTAAGTGTGAGACAGAGGAAACATCGCAAAAGATCGTGGTTTTTCCTTTTTGGTTTCCGAGACAAAAGACTTCTGAAGAAAAATCAAATTAATTTTCCCAGGAAAAAAAAACTTTGGGCTTGAAAAATCTTAGGCAAGCAATGGAACAAAAGCATATACTGTTTTCGGCGTTGAGAATGGGAGTGGGGGTAGGAGTGGCTCTAGGGTTGGAGTCGGGTCAGAGCAAATGGACCGGAAGCTCGGCTGCATCAACCAACATCACTTTGGACAGGATGGAGAAAGAATTGCTTCGCCAAATCGTTGATGGCAGAGATAGCCAGGTCAGCTTTGATCAGTTTCCTTACTACCTCAGGTAAAGTTACAATTTTCTCATCATTCGTTGTTTAAATCATTTTCTTCTTTGAAAAAGAAATATTTTTTTTAATATTAACCAAAAAGAAAGTTTTTTTTCTTTTTCAGTCTTATATCTATGTTTAGAGAAATAAATAAATGAATAATCTTAGTAGTACTATATTTCTAGATATTTCGACTTCTTTGTCTGTATGCCATGAGGCTTGCCTCGAGAATGAAACCATGGAGCTTCAATGTATATATTATTATATATTTCTGCTTTCTTTAGTGTCAATACTAGATAGATATGGGTGAGCATTTTATCCTGTTGATTTTGTTTGGCAGCGAGCAAACTCAAGCATTGCTAACTAGTGCTGCCTATGTCCACTTGAAACATGCTGATGTTTCCAAGTAAACAAGGAATCTTTCTCCTGCCAGTCAAGCCATATTGCTATCCGGACCTGCAGGTTGGTCGCCTCATGCCTGGAATCGCTTTTATTACTGGCAGGCTATACATCACAATTTTTTTTTGTATTATAGATTTGTTTTTGTGAGGCTGCTAATTGTAATTTCTATTTTCTTGAAGAACTTTATCAGCAAATGCTCGCCGAAGCTTTAGCTCATTACTTTGAATCAAAGTTGCTCCTCTTGGATGTAACTGATTTTTCCTTAAAAGTGGGTATTGCACATTTTCCTTCTTCCCCCATCTTTTAACTTGCTCGGCTTTAAGCTTCGAATTTTTGCATTTGACAGTTTAAATGGTTTCCTTAGTACAGATTCAGAGTAAACATGGAAGTGGCAAAGAATCTGTAAGTTTTTCTCTTTTTTTAGTACATTTCTCTGAAGACACATGGAAATAGGCCAACCCTGCTTTTGATTTTTCCCTAATCTTTGATTCTCTTATGCAGTCTTTCAAAAGATCCACTTCAGAGTCAACATTAGAGCCTTTGTCTGGTTTATTTGGTTCATTTTCACTCCTTTCACAGGAAGAGCCCACAGGTATAGTAGAAAATGTTTGGTTTTTAGTATTTATGCGAAGCTTTATCTATCTTATTGTTTCCATATCATTTATTGAATCTATTAGCGCTAACTGAAATATCTAATTTCTTCAATTCTTATGATGTAGATATTGTTTACAATAGTTGCGTGTATATATCTCTGTGACTAAGAACTGTAAGTTATGTTACAGGTACAATGAGGCGTCAAAGCAGTGGTATGGATATTGGGTTAAGGTATTGTGACCTATTCCTGATTAATCTCATGAGAAAATGTGTAGCCAGGAGTTTAGTCTTCTGTTTTTCGATATTTCTGGTTCTTGTAACTGCAGGGGAATTGAAGGTCCTCCCAAGCTACGTGGATATGCATCTGTATCAGATAATATGAATAGCCTTACTTCTCAATGCAGTCCTGCAAATCCAGGTACTCCTTACGTTCTATTAATGACAGGATTAAAAAAGAAGTTTTTTATGGTTAAAGAGTAGAAGTTTTTGCGTGAAGTAACTAGAAGTTTTTCCTTAAGTGCAAGGTTAACACTAAAAACCACTCATTTTTATTTCTCAACCAACAAATGAAATCTCTTTCAAAGTAGCTTTTTAACAAGGTAGTACCACGAACTTCATTTGAATCAGCTAACAAACAATAATGTTATCTGCCATGAGAAAGTAGTACTAGAAAAAATGTAGTGGGCCATTACAGGGTTTCTTCTGGAGCCCGACAATCTATTTAGAATATGTCCTAGACAAGGAAATGCAGTGCAGTCCTATAACTGCAAATATAGAAATGTAAGTTGTTGTGGTTAAAGAGCTTTGGAGTCATGTCTTATGATCCTAATAAACAACAAAGAAATCCTAAGTTGAAGGTGGTAGAGGGTAAACAACTTTGCTTGATCATTCTTCAATCAATTATATAAATTGTAAGGACAAAGTTTCAGGTTCATCAAAATCCAAGAATTTTGAAGCAATTACTGATGATTTAACTCTCCAACATGGATGGGAACGCTTATAATGCTCATGTAGTTTAATGACTCTCCACCACTATTTATGCTTCATTATTCTCCAAGTTCATTTTCCAAGTGCTCATAGCTGCTTTAATCTTTTTTTTTCCCTTTTCTCTAGCTCCTTTGAGGTGGATAAGCAGTTTGTCTTTTGATGAAAAGCTTCTTATACAGTCTCTTTACAAGGTAGTGTCATTTGGGGATGCATGTTAATTGCAGCAGTGAATGATCTTATCATGAAATTTTAATGTATCTTATTTATGTATGAAATCATCTCTTGCTTTGAAATAAATGATGGACCAACAGCAATTCTGAATTGAATACAGGTGTTGGTTTATGTGTCAAAAGCCACTCCTATTGTGCTGTATCTTAGGGATGTTGACAAGCTTTTGTCTATATCACAAAGGATTTATAATCTGTTTCAAAAAATGTTGAAGAAGCTGCCTGGAAATGTGTTGATCCTTGGGTCACGAGTTCTAGATCTGGGTAATGATGAGAGAGAGGTGGATGAGAGGTAACTTCCATTTTCCCTTACAACATTGAGATCAAGCCCCCAGCTGATGAAAAACATCTTGTCAGCTGGAAGTCTCAACTGGAAAAGGACATGAAGACGATCCAAGCTCAGGATAATAGAAATCACATCATGGAGGTGCTTTCAGCGAATGATCTTGTTTGTGATGATCTAGATTCAATCTGTGTGGCAGAAGCAATGGCCCTCAGTAAATACATAGAGGAGGTTGTGGTGTCGGCCATTTCTTATCATTTGATGAAAAATAAGGATCCTGGATACAGTAATGGCAAAACTCATGATATCATCTGAAAGGTCAGATTAGTTTTTCTTCCACGGTTGATGTTGCCATTAATATTACATTTTCTGATTAGTCTGCACTGATACAGCTTGTCACATGGATTGAGCATATTCCAGGAAGGAAAGTCCAATGGCAAAGACACATTAAAAATGAAGCACAAACTGAAACATCAAAGGTGTTTACGCTAGCTAGTTGTTTTTTAACATTATCTATAGAAGGAATTAGATGGGAGATTGCTAAGCTTACCTGCCCATTTTGTTCTTTGAGTAATTGTAGGAAGCAGGAGCAGTTTCTGTAGGTGTGAAACGGGAAT